ACGCTGCTCTCCTCCAATCAGGAGCAGGATCAGCTCCTGCAGCTTATCAAACTGATGAGGCAGCTGTGTAGAGGTTGTTTGGTCTCTTTCTCTCAGCGCCATATTGTGGGGGAGCAGATGCATAGAATAAGTCTTAATTCCAGTAACTTAGTCTAGTCTCAGTTGCTCCCCATAATATACTTGTGAATGTCTATGGATGTTATTCTCTTTAGCTTTCTGTATTCATTGGAGATTAGAAAAAAGGTAAAATACTGGTAAAATATTTTTACTCTGAAACCTCAAAGTTCTCTATAATTCTAGGTTGTCTTGAGTGTCAGACAAACCCAGTGGCTTCTCCTGCAGGCTATGCTCATCACGTTCTCCACTGTACTTGTATCTCTGAGAACCTTTCTCAGGAACATTCTCCCCATTGCTCTATTCAGTACCCCAAGGTTTGAATTTTGGGAAGAACTCACCCTGGAGTAGAAAGAAATCTATGTGAATCCAGGGAGACACAGGAGCTTCGCTGTCAGTCCCTCTCATGTCAGACCCTTTCTGCTCCAGGGAGCTGAGAACAGGAAGAGCCACTTTCAAAAACTTTCACAGCCTTTTTGGAGGTATTATCTACAGATAGTAGTAGTATTTGATAATTAGCAAAAGGGAAAATGTTCTCAGAAATCTCCTCAGTACCCTAACTACTTTCACTGCAGCTGCAGGTGGAAAGATAATTGAAGCTCTGCAGGGAGGTGAGGTCACAGGCAAACACCATTTCTAGTGCTCCAGCTGCCTCCAGCCCACCCAGTGTTGACTGTGGTGACCTTTTACACCCAGACTTGTCCAGGCAGCCAAGAGAAATTAGGGATTTTCTATGTCAGTAGAAAGAGGGAGGCTTCATGCAAGAAGACATTCAAAAATCTGGGTGAGTGATCAGATGAGAAAGGGGATTTTCCTGTTTTTGCACCTGGCCTAATGCCCCAGCTTCCAGGAAACAGGAAGGATTCTGAGACATGTACTTAGCTATGACAGGGACATGGCTCCTATACCCTACTCCAGTCTCTGATGGCTCCCAAAGTAACTTGGTGTCATGCACAATGCTATTGATTCTTGGGGTTTAATGAAAATAATCATGCCACCTGGTGTTTAATGTACTTAAGGACTGTATGTCCAAAATAAGTCTCTGATCAGTCTTCTGTATAGTACTCATAGACTCCACTTTCAAAATTAGCAGAGAGGTTGCTGTGGAACCAAACATGCTTATAGATGTAGACAAGGACAAACCTCAGATTCTTATAATCCTGGGATGAATGAGTGGCTGCCAGTGGCAACTGCTGGAATAGAAAGTTTTTCTCCAACCCTGTTGTATGAATTGCTCAATGGAGGCAATTATTTCCTGTTGAAAATCCCCAAGGTTCCTTGATTATGGTAAGATTATGTTCTCTCTTTAAGTAAGAAAAGCCTATATAAGAAAAAAGTAGTGCTACCTTTTAGTAATGAGTTTCAGGTAGTAGCTTTCATGCACAAATCTATGTTCTGATGTTTATTCTGAGCAATTTATTTTCATCTCAACTTCTAGCTCCACATTGTCATATGAAAAAATAAATAAGATTTGACAATAGAGATTGTATGAGCTATACAAGGTTTACACTTCAATACTTTTCAAAAATCTTAACTTGATTTCACCAGAGTGGTGTTAATGTCACTTCATACAGGGCTCAATATATTTTTAGTACCTGAGTGTCAGTACTTGAAGTAAGAAGTAAGTAAGGAGATAAAACGGCATATCAGGTCATTAAGGGAATTTTAGAATCTGCCTGCTAAATCATGGTTTCACTTCTGAGGGCTCACAACCTTCCATACATCCATTGATATTCTTCTCTTTAGCTCCTGAGTCCATTGGAGATGAGAAAGAAGGGCAGGGTGCAAACTTGTAAAGAATGCTTTTGCATGGCCAACACTGCAGCTGACTAGGCTAATCCTCCACCTGCGGTGAAGGCACACCGGGTTCTACTCCTGGTTGGGGCACCGGATTCTGTCCTGGTTGCTCCTCTTCCAGTCCAGCTCTCTGCTTGTGGCCCAGGTCCTTGGGCCCTGCCCCCCACTCCCCCATGGGAGACCAGGAGGAGCCCCTGGCTCCTGGCTTTGGATCAGTGCAGTTTGCTGGCCATAGTGGCCATTTGAGGGGTGAACCAATGGAAGGAAGACCTTTCTCTCTGTCTCTCTCTTTCACTATCTAACTCTGCCTGTCAAAAAAAATAAGAAAAAGAATGCTTTTGCATACAATCCCCACATCCTCTGTATTTTCGAAGAAACTTTCATGGAGCACCAGACAAATTTGTTAGTGGCTATTAAGTGATTTATTTCCTCCAAGGGGCTGTACCAATTCTTCTCAATAATTTTTTCATAGATGCAATTCCTTCTAACTTTATTTCCTTTATTTCTATCACTTTTTTATTAATATAAAGAGAACAATGGTTTCTTCCTCTTTTTAATATTTATTACTTATTTGAAAGGCAAAGATACAGAGACAGGGAGAGGTCTCCCATCAACATGTTCACACCACAAATAACTTCACTGGCAGGGATGGGCCAGGTTGAAGACAGGAGCTTCTTATGCGGTCTCCCATATGGGATGGCTGAGGCCCAAGCACTTAGGCCATGTTCTGCTACTTTTCCCAGGTGGTTGGCAGAGAGCTGCATTCAAACTGGAGCAGTTGAGGACATAAGCAGGTGTTCATACAGAATACTGGTACTGCAGGTGGTGGCTATTACCAGCTAGCCACAAGACCATCCCAAAGAACAGTGGTTTGTAATGTAAACTATGGACCTCATGTTCTCCATTGCACCTGCATCTCTGAAAACCTTTTTCAGGAGCAGTCTCCCCACTGCTCTGCTCATGACATAAATGAGGCTGAGCTTACTGGTCTGAAGTTTGGGAAAGAACTCACTCTGGGGTAGAAAGAAATCTGTGAAACCTGGATGACACAGAAGATTCACTGCCTGTCCCTCCACTGTCAGATTCAGGATCTCCTGCTCCCTACATATGAGACATTGTCTGCCCCAGAAGCTGAGAAAAGGAGGAGGCAGCACAGGAGTCTAACAGTCTCCTTTGAGATAATAACTACAGTGCTGTAAAAGTTCCTAGTAGTTAGCAAGAGTGAAAAAAGTTTCACGGTATTCTCATGACCCCAATTTTACTTTCACTGCAGCTTCAGATGAAAAGATAATTGCAGTTCAGCAGAGAGATGAGGTCACAGACACTAATACATTTCTAGTGCTCCAGCTGCCTCCACCCCACTCCATACAACTGTGGTGACTTTTGTGCCAATGCTTGTCCTGGACTCTGAAAGAAACTGGGGATTTTCCATGTCAGTGTGAAGGAGAGAAGCTGTAAGCAAGGAGGCGTCTCTGGAGTCTGGGTGAGTGATGAGGTGAGAAAGGGGATTCTTCTGTGCTTGCTCCTGGTCCTGTGCCCCAGCCTCACAGGAAGGAGGAAGCATTCTGAGATGTGAGCTGAGCTAGGAGAGAGATGGGGGTCCAACTCCCTACTCCAATCCTGGGGACCCCTAATGTAATTCAGTGTCATCCTCAATGACATGGGTTCGTGATCTCAAAAAAATAACCCTGAAATCTGGTGCCAATGTATTTAAGGACTGAGGTCCCTGTAAATCTGCTGTTCCATCTACTGGACATGAATCATAGACTCCACTTTCAGAATTGTTGGAAATGCACATCTATCTGTCACATGCTTATGATAAAGACTTGGAAATTCCTACAGGAATCTTATGATCCTGGAAGAAACTGTGGATTCCCATGGTATTGCTTGAACAGCAAGGTTTTCTCTAACTCCGTTGTCTGAATCCTCACTGAAGTCAGTGACTGTTTCTTACTGAAAACATCATTTGTACTCTGCAGATGGTGATATATTTGCTGTTTTTACATGAGGGAAGACTTTAAGCCACTGAGGCATGTCCTGTAGAGAAGGACGTCACCTGGCAGCTGCCACGTATGAATGTGGCTTCCAGCATTTGTTCTGAGCTGGAAATATTTTCATGTCAATTACAAGCTCCACAGTTTGGACACCCTAGATATTCCATGTGAGTTTACACACTCTAGTACTCAGTAACCTTTAAACATCTTTATTATGGAAAATTTAATCATTAACTCACTATGAGTCACAAAAGAAGCACAGATAGTAAAGTGGTCATATTTAGTTTCCACCATACATGACTTCATCACAGACGGTGTCTCCTGTCCCATAGTCTACAGCAGAACATATGATCAGCACTTGGGTATCAGGTTCTAGTGCTACAAAAGCCAAATACTGTTCGCATTGCCTTCCTAAAATAGTACTGGTTTGACTTAGTAAAATACAAATTTTCAAGGAGTGCATCAGAAAAAATAACATAATCCATTGATTTACATCTTCAAAATATACACAAATGTGTAATCAATATTTACATTGCTTTGTGCTGTAAATCCTTATGTATAGTTAAACTGGCACAAAAAAGTGAAAAATTAGCACGAGTCTGCAATAAGTTGGCAGCATAATAAATATGTAAGAATATGTGTTATTTGAATACACAGCTAACTAGTTTTCTAAGAATAGCAAGATGGTTAACCTACTCTCTCATAAGACCATCCAAGTTCAATTCAACACATTACATTATACATTAAGAAGTTTAAATTTAGGCAAATGGCTGGCCTATAGCCACCTAAGGGATAATTTTATTTCAAATGAAAGGAATATTGCTGCCTTTCATTGAGTTAGGAGTACAAGAATTACTCTCAAGACACCACATATTTGTAAGTATATTTTGTAAGTTGCCTTAGTTACATATTCGACTCTTTTAAAACATGATATAAATAAACATATTAAGCAGCTATGGCTAAGTGTCAATGAATTAAGTGGGGAATATTGTGAATGGAGACTGTTGTATTTTGGTTGACATTAATATATGTATCTCATGCCTCATGTCCCTTACAGGACTCAGAGACAATAATCAGACATTGGGAGATGATGGGATGGCCACCAGAGATTTGACAATGGGGATGATCTTCTTATCACAAACTCTTACAGGAATCCTGGGGAATTTCTCTCTTCTTTCCCATTATCTCTATCTCTACCTCACAGGATGCAAGTTTAGGTCCACAGATTTGGTCATCAAACACCTGAGTGTAGCCAACTGCTTAGTCATTCTCTCTAGAGGAGTTCCCCAAACCATGGCAGCTTTGGGGATGAAGCATTTCCTCAGGGACATTGGGTGCAAACTGGTGTTCTATGTTCATAGGGTGGGCAGGGATGTGTCTATTTGCAGCACCTGCCTCTTGAGTATCTCCCAGGCCATCACCATCAGTCCCAGGAACACCAGATGGGCAGAGCTCAAAGCAAAAGCTCCCAAGTACATTGGCTTCTCTGTTGCACTTTTCTGGATGGTGAACCTGATACTAAATGTCATGGTACCTTTGCATGTGACTGAGAATGGGAGTGACAAAAATATGACAAGGGAAGTTGATTATGGCTACAGCTATTCAGTCATTAGTGACAGATTCACAGTGTATGGAGCAGTGTATGGAGCACTGGTGTTATTAAGAGATATTTTCTTTGTGGTGATCTTGATGTCTAGAGCTACCCACAGCATCCTCATCCTGGTGAGCACCTTTGTGTCTTTGAGCAGTCTCTCCTCCCTCTTTCACATTTGCTTGATTGTTTTAAACAATCCCAGTATGTGGCTGGTGAACACCTCTGCACTAATCGCTGGTAGTTTCCCAACCGTGAGCCCCTACATTCTCATGAGCCATGACTCCAGAGTGCTTAGGCTCATTTTTACCTTCTCGAGATATACAGAATCCCCTGCTTAGAATGAATGTGTAAATTGTGTACTCACAATGGTTGGTTCTCTGATGCTTTTTAAAATATATTCATTTATTTACTTGAGAGACAGACACAGAGCTCTCTATATTGTATTTCACTCCCCAAACATCTATCTTGAGTTTGGATCAAAGTCAGAGCCAAGATCTGAATTACTTGTGCCATCAACACCACTTCCCAGTGTCTACCTTAGCAGATAGCTGAGTTCTGGTCAAAGCTGGGTCTCAAATCCAGATACTGCGATATTAGATATGTTTTTGTATGGAAACTTAACTGCTAGGCCAAATGCCTGCCAAACACAATGTGAGTTCTTTATTCTTGAAGCCCTCTGAATGTTTAAGCATGTTTCTTAAAACAGTACAAAGGACAGTTTGGTAAACAAAACAGACTGAATTTCTGCTCTAAATAAAGAATGAATGTATTAGTAATTATAAATGAATCGCTATGTAATTATCATGTGGATTCCCATATTGTGTTATTAGTGTTCCTGCCTCCATCAAGAAATGTAGAAATGGGTAAGAAGTTATAGGAGTCACCTGAATCTGACATACTGAATTTCTCAGAAGTGAAAAGTTATGGGAATGTGACAAAAGATCCATAAATCAGGGGCAACATTTCATGTGGGCATCAGAATACAGAAAAATGAAGAAATTCTCCATGGAACGATGAATAGCATGGACGTTAGTGGAGAGAAAGTGAAGTTTCCCAGAGTGGAAGCGTTGAGGATCCTGCAGTTCTGTGCATGCAGGCGATGAGTCTTCTGAACTCAGATGTTATGAAGGAGATTGGTTACTTCAATCATTTTCATGTACAAATGGCCCGTATGATCTGGAGTGGGGCACGGGGTAGCATGAAGCATGTTCTGCTGTTTATGAATGACGCTGAGGGACAGAGCACACTGTCCAAACATCCCAGCATGGAGGTGAGATCTGCTGGGGGAGCTTCTGTATCTTTCAGTGAAGAGGCCAGTTGGGTGTGTGGGCAAGAAACAGCTTCCATGTGCACTCCCCTGTCTCCCAGGTGAGGAAATAAGTTTATGGCGGGACCTTCCTTTAGCCTTGAACACAGGACTAAATAGGCACTGGGAGCCAGTCTCCTTCCTGCCCCCACCTGGTGCTTATTTCCAAGTGCACTGACATGTATTTTTGTGTTTCTAAGTGTCTGTGTATGCACACATGTAGATATATGAAGTCAAATTACATCTACATGCTTTAAATCATTAATACTGGAAAGGCACAAAGTCAGATTTACAAAGCAGTGCCAGTAAGAAAAACACCAGCTGTGTTCACCCCACTGCGTACTTACTCTGATGTAAGTGTCCCCATGTGTAGGACATTATAGGAGACAAATCCTGACTGTAATGTCAATGACAGCTAAAGGGCCCCTGGAGGTCTGGCAGGGATGACACCTCCTGTCTCTCAGCTGTAGGACACAAACCAGCCTGGGGATTTCCAGTCCTGGCCCAGGGAATCCCAGCAGACAAGACCATCCCAGCACATAGACAGCTCTCACTCACCTAAAGCAAAGTTTCCCCTGCAAGCTCAGCTCCAACTTCCTTTAGGAGAGAAACTCCTAGTGCCTGACCTAGGCAGCCTACAGGCATAAGGAAGGGGGCTTATTCACACAGACTCTGAGAGAGGTCTTTGGCCAATGGTCATCCAGCCCCTGTATCTGGACCAGGTCATTAGCCTGCTCCCAGTATCTGGTTTGTGGAAGCCCTGGTAGAATAAATAATTTTCTTACTTTTTTATTTTCATTTAGTTTAGTTCTTTTTTTTTAAAAACAGTCTACATATTAGTTATTTTCATAAGATGTTGTCTAATCAGCAGCTGGATGTTCATGGAATGTTTTTGCTCTTTTAATCCACATATTTTAACTATGATAAGGGTACCTGAAAAACGATCTTAGGAAAATGAAATTAAGTGATAAGTTTATTTTGGTGCAAAACATGTTTGAAAGTCAAGGATTGTGGTTGTTACATGCATTTTCCACAAAGCTTTTGAAAACCCCTATCTGCATGGGTTTTTCAGTTTTCACTTTGACAGTTCTATCTTCAGAATCTACTCATTTATAACCTGGAAAACACTCGATACTTCTCATAGTTAGTCACAGTGTAGTTCCTAATACATTTAACTCCCCCTGGACAATGTGATGGCACTCCAGCAGTAATCTATCAACAACCTGCAAACTTTTAAAATCTATGATAGTCATTTTCATGTGACACACACACAGGTTTGGAATTGACATCTCATTGAAAGAAGCTGCACACTTCTCTGGATCAAGAACTAGAAGGTGGCTGCCCTCCCTCACCCCAGGCACCACATTTCACCCCTTAGCACCTCCCACATCCCCTGAAGATCACCATGGCAGACTGCCTCCTGCAATTGTGTTATGATTGAAACAACACAGCAATGACCTGTGTGGGCTTTTCTCATTTCTTACGTTGCTCATAACTTTAACTGTACTGTCACGTTTGTCCAGATACTCATCAACTTCTCTGCAGAAGGGCCCACCAGGTGAACAACCAACAACTGATTCAGTCACAACACTGTTTGAGTCATTTTCAGGTTGGACTCCCAGGAACAGTGCCAGAAGTAAATTCAGAATTCATATTTTGGCAGAGGTGTGTGTAGGTTTGTTGTGTGTATAAATGGTGGGGAGATCATTGGGCCATAGATTAACCTTGGCTTATCTTTTTTTTTTCTTCACAATAAATGTGATTGCACAGAATTTAGAGGGAAACTATCTCATAAACTTTAAAAAGTCAAATATTTACATTTTATCAATGATCCTCTGGTCTTTCTCTGAAATCCTGTAATTGTGCATTTTAACCTAGTCACAAATACAGTGTGTACATATAGTTTTCAGTTGTTGCTTTCATTTTTAACTTTTATTTAATAAATATAAATTTCCAAAGTACAGCTTTTGGATTAAAGTGCCCCCCCATAACTTCCTTCCCACCTGCAACCCTCCCACCTCCTGATCCCTCTCCCATTCCATTCACATCAAGATTCATTTTCAATTATCTTTATATACAGAAGATCAATTTAGTATATATTAAGTAAAGATTTCAACAGTTGACACACAGAAACACAATGTATATAGTGCTGTTTGAGTACTAGTTATAGCATTAATTTACATTGTACAACACATTAAGACAGAGATCCTACATGGGGAGTAAGTGCACAGTGACTCCTGTTGTTGACTTAACAATTGACACTCTTATTTATGGCGTCGGTAATCACCCTAAGCTGTTGTCATGAGTTGCCAAGGCTATGGAAGCCTTTTGAGTTCAGCAACTCAGATCTTATTTGGACAAGGTCCTAGTCAAAGTGGAAGTTCTCTCCTTCCTACAGAGAAAGTCACCTCCTTCTTTGATGGCCCTTTTTTTGACAGGCAAAGTTAGACAGTGAGAGAGAGAGAGACAGAGAGAAAGGTCTTTCATTTTCCGTTGGTTCACCCCCGAAGTGGCCACTACTGCCAGTGCGCTGTGGCTGGCTTGCTGCGCCGATCCAAAGCCAGGAGCCAGGTGCCTCCTCCTGGTCTCCCATATGGGTGCAGGGCCCAAGGACCTGGGCCATCCTCTACTGCACTCTCGGGATGCCAGGATGGCCTGTTCTTTCCACTGGGATCTCACTCACAGAGATCTTTCATTTTTTTTTTTTTTTTGCCAGAGTGTCTTGGCTTTCCATGCCTAAAATACTCTCATGGGCTCTTCAGCCAGATCCGAATGCCTTAAGGGCTGATTCTGAGGCCAGAGTGCTGTTTAGGACATCTGCCATTCTATGAGTCTGCTGTGTATCCTGCTTCCTATGTTAGATCGTTCTCTCCCTTTTTGATTCTATCAGTTATTATTAGCAGACACTAGTATTGTTTATATGATCCCTTTGACTCTTTATTTTTATTTTTATTTATTTTTTTATTTTTTTTTTATTTTTTTATTTTTTGACAGGCAGAGTGGACAGTGAGGGAGAGAGACAGAGAGAAAGGTCTTCCTTTGCCGTTGGTTCACCCTCCAATGGCCGCCGCGGCTGGCGCACTGCGGCCGGCCCACCGCGCTGATCCGATGGCAGGAGCCAGGAGCCAGGTGCTTTTCCTGGTCTCCCATGGGGTGCAGGGCCCAAGCACCTGGGCCATCCTCCTCTGCACTCCCTGGCCACAGCAGAGAGCTGGCCTGGAAGAGGGGCAACCGGGACAGAATCCGGCGCCCCAACCGGGACTAGAACCCGGTGTGCCGGCGCCGCTAGGTGGAGGATTAGCCTAGTGAGCCACGGCGCCGGCCGATCCCTTTGACTCTTAATCCTTTCATTATGATCAATTTTGAAATGAAACTGATCACTTTGACTAGTGAGATGGCATTGGTACATAAAAGATCCTGTGAAATACTTCCAGAAGCTTTTCTTCCTTTTTCTTGTTTTACCAACTTTCTCTTTTTGTTGCAGAATTTATTAACTATATTTTTTATATTTTGGGGATAAGTTTTAATATATATTTGAGGCAAAGGCTTAATGGCTCTACTAACAAGTTCCACAAGTAACCTGCAAGCAATCTGTGTAAACTCCTAGTTTACCTAGAATCTGCCAAAACTTACAAGTTTCAATCATTTTATTTTAAGCTCTTGTTGGTGTATGATACTTTCAAGTAATGGTTTTATTTGAACATTTTTTTATTACTAAGGAAGTTTATTACCTATTAACACACTGAATGAATTCAGATATCCTTTGTTGGAGGCCTTGTTTGGTTTATTTTGTCCAGTTTTTCTATTGTATTGTCTTTATTGTCTCTATTGGTTGCTTGGTGCGTTGGAGAATTACACACACTTCTTACTTGACCCCAATCTCTCCTCTTTCTATCCCTCTTTCTCTCTCTCCCTCTCTCTATTGCTGTGTCTTTCAAACACATAAATAAAATCTTTAAAAAAATCAAGGTCTTGTGTTCAGAAAGTTAATGGCTCTTTTTGTTCTGATGATTAGTTCTCTTGTGTTTGTAC